GGAGCTGCAGTGGGCGGGGCCTGCAGGTATGTAAACACAGCCAACACCTTCAGCTAATGCTTTACAAAGTCCTTTTCCATTCCCACCCCTCCCTGCCACAAACCAGCCATAGGAGACCAGGACGGCAAACAAACACACACACACTGAAAAAAGTGATGAAAAAGAAGTAAAAACTTGCTCGAAATTGTCAAAATTCCTATTAATTGTCGCACATTTTGACCGCCTTAAAACAAGGTTTGTCAATGGAACAAAGCAAAATGATCTTGTTTTGAAAATATACAAGAAATGTCTCCCTTGGAATGAGAAAATAAAGCAACAGTTCTTGAAATAAGCCTAATTTTATTTTGAATACAGTCAGAATGTGCTCAAATTAAGATGAAAAACTTGATTTAAGCAATTATTACCTCATATTTTGTAATCTTTTGCAGTGCATGTACAGTCACACACACTCACGCCCAGCTACAGATTCCAAAGTTATTTCAGATTTTCACAAGACGAAGGATAACACTGTTTATTCGCCACTTGTTGTTCGCGGAGGTGTGAAGTTGTATGTTGTGAAATAAAAGTGTTGACACGATTGGCTTCCCAACACGGTCATTATCTAAAGTTTCAATATTCATTCTTTACTTATGTTAATGACTAGTATAATATGTAACTAACTTATCTTGTTGCCTTCGGGTGAGATATGTTTTATCACCTCCACAATGTTAGCATGTTTTGCGGGTTCGCTTTAAGCACACAATATAACAATAATTACAGTAAGCTGATGGACGTGCACTGCAAAAAAGTGATGAAAAAAATTTGTAAAAATGCTTTCATCAAGTGTTTTTCAAACTAATTCTCTTTAAGACAAGAATGGCCAATGGGACAAAGCCATTTCGTCTTATTTCAAGAACTGATTCCAACGGAGACATTTCTTGTATCTTTTTAAAGCAACATCATTTTTGTTTTGTCCCATTGGAGAATCATGTTTTAAGGCAGTGAAAATGTGCTCAAATTAAAGGTATGCTGTATAGGAGGATTTTTTACTTCCGGGTGGATCTTCAAGACTAGAGTGCCTTGCGAAAGTATTCGGCCCCCTTGAACCTTTCAACATTTTGCCACATTTCAGGCTTCAAACATAAAGATATAAAAATTTAATTTTTTGTCATGAATCAACAACAAGTGGGACACAATCGTGAAGTGGAACAAAATGTATTGGATAATTTAAACTTTTTTAACAAATAAAAAACTGAAAAGTGGGGCGTGCAATATTATTCGGCCCCTTTACTTTCAGTGCAGAAAACTCAGTCCAGAAGTTCAGTGAGGATCTTTGAATGATCCAATGTTGTCCTAAATGACTGATGATGATAAATAGAATGCACCTGTGTGTAATCAAGTCTCCGTATAAATGCACCTGCTCTTTGATAGTCTCAGGGTTCTGTTTAAAGCGCAGAGAGAACCATGAAGACAAAGGAACACACCAGGCAGGTCCGAGATACTGTTGTGGAGAAGTTTAAAGCCCGATTTGGATACAAAAAGATTTCCCAAGCTTTAAACATCTCAAGGAGCACTGTGCAAGCAATTATATTGAAATGGAAGGAGTATCAGACCACTGCAAATCTACCAAGACCCGGCCGGGGGATGGTGTGTTCAGGGTGATGAGCTGTGTTGCTTTTACGCCAAACATATCGTTTTGCATTGTGGCCAAAAAATTTGATTTTGGTTTCATCTGACCAGAGCACCTTCTTCCACATGTTTGGTGTGTCTCCCAGGTGGCTTGTGGCAAACTTTAAACCAGACTTTTTATGGATATCTTTGAGAAATGGCTTTCTTCTTGCCACTCTTCCATAAAGGCCAGATTTGTGCAGTGCACGACTTTATTGTTGTCCTATGGACAGACTCTCCCACCTCAGCTGTAGTTATCTGCAGTTCATCCAGAGTGATCATGGGCCTCTTGGCTGCATCTCTGATCAGTCTTCTCCTTGTTTGGGATGAAAGTTTGGAGGGACGGCCGGGTCTTGGTAGATTTGCAGTGGTCTGATACGCCTTCCATTTCAATATAATTGCTTGCACCATGCTCCTTGAGATGTTTAAAGCTTGGGAAATCTTTTTGTATCCAAATCCGGCTTTAAACTTCTCCACAACAGTATCTCGGACCTGCCTGGTGTGTTCCTTTGTCTTCATGGTTCTCTCTGCGCTTTAAACCTGAGACTATCAAAGAGCAGGTGCATTTATACAGAGACTTGATTACACACAGGTGCATTCTATTTATCATCATCAGTCATTTAGGACAACATTGGATCATTCAAAGATCCTCACTGAACTTCTTGAATGAGTTTGCTGCACTGAAAGTAAAGGGGCCGAATAATATTGCACGCCCCACTTCTCAGTTTTTTATTTGTTAAAAATGTTTAAATTATCCAATAAATTTTGTTCCACTTCACGATTGTGTCCCACTTGTTGTTGATTCATGACAAAAAATTAAAATGTTATATCTTTATGTTTGAAGCCTGAAATGTGGCGAAATGTTGAAAGGTTGAACAGGGCCGAATACTTTCGCAAGGCACTGTATTGGTCCTCCCAATTGTCAATCATTCTGGTGATTCATTGAGCACCAGCCCCTCCTCCTGCAGGTGGTGAGTCCGTAGGAGCCTTGGGGGCTTCAGGCAAAGTGGGGTTAAGTGTCTTGCCCAAGGATACAATGACAGCGGCCATCAGTGGGAGTCGTGAAGTAGGTCTTGCGGTGGGCTTGAACCCATGACCTTCAGCCTCTAAGGCCAATGCTCTACCAACTGAGACACTATCGCCCCAGTATCTGGTGATACTAGAGTTTTTTCAACAAAAAATTGGGAAAATCCTCTTTTAAACCTTTAAGATAAAAATTGCCAAATGTTAACAATTTTGACTTATTTTTCATCACTTTTTGCAGTGTATATTCACACTATTACTTCACGCAACCAACTCTGCTCATGGACCAAACGGTTAAAGCTGGGGTACCTGACTTTCAAACCGCAAAAATTTGAACTACTGTATCCAATAATAATCCATGTAACTACTGCCTCGCTCTCTAAAAAGTGTCAGATCAAGGGGAAATTTCAGTGTTGCATCACAAGCACACAGCATAAATGAACATTAACTCTATAATAAATATAAACATTGAAAAAATCTTTTAAACTCTAGCATAAAAGATACAATTCTCTAACTAGTTTTGTTCTATCCCTATTATTTGCATGTATTTCTGTCCTCTGTCACATTTTTAAATCAGCTTTTTCAGACAGAAAAGTGTAAAAGAGTAAACCACCCTCACTCAGCTAATCAGTTCTCAGCCCAAACAGTCAAAAAGTGACTCACAGGGCTCTTTCTTACTTTAAGTATAGTTTAACAAGATGAAGACCTGATTCAACACACTTTTTATAAAGTTTTCATCTCGTCAAAGACATCGTGGATATATATTCACCCAAACAAACATAACGCCTGTTAAGTTATTGCCAGTAATTCATCACATCAAAGGCACAAATGTAATCATCCTCGTCTCCTCGTCTCCTCGTCTCCACCTCCAGAGTTGTGTTTGCGTTTCTCCTTTAATAATGTCATGGAAAGTTTCATATGATCAGAGTCAGTTTGGTGTTGCTCCGTGTCACGCTGACTTTAGCTTCAGGACGGTTTGCTCTGGAGGAGTTTGGAGAAGTCTGTTAATGGAAGATAACAGATAGATTTGAATAGTGCTTTATAAAAGTACCTTTACAACTATGTGCATTTCTCCATTGTGAGATGAATAAAGTTTATCTTATCGTGTTTTGGTGCATGACTGATAACCCAGGCAAAACATATTTGGCCGCCAGACCATTGTTGTTGGCACCTGAAATTATTTTGAAAAATTAAGATTAAGAGATCCTTTATTCGTCCCACAGTAAGGACATTTCAGTGTTGCATCAGTAGCTACAGAGCAGTAGCAATGAGGAGCACACAGCAAAACTATAATAATAAAAATAAAACAAAATCTCTAACTTTGGCATCAAATAAACAAGTATAAAATCTCTATCTTTAACATAATAAAGAAGTATAAAATCAAAACAAAAACAAGATAAAGTACTGGGTATTCCTATTAGCTTGCAATATTGATAGTGGTCTTAAAAGGTATAGAGGAGGACTTTCCCATATTTTAGGAAAGAATCGTCCTTTCCACTTTTGAACAAAACTTTGGTCTTATTTGAAGAGCACGTATAGCCAGAATGATTGACAACTGGGAGGACCAATAGTCTTCATGGGTGACAGTAGCTCAGTTGGTTGAGCATTGGCCTTTGAGCCTGAAGGTCATGGGTTTGAGACCACCTTAAGACCTAGTTCAAGACTCCCACTGATGACTGCTGTCGTTGTGTCCTTGGGCAAGACACTTTACCCCACTTTACCTCAAGCCCCTGCTGAAAGATCTCAGCTCCTGTGGACTCACCACCTGCAGGAGGATCAGTGAGGGGCTGGTGCTAAGTGCAGCTCTGACTGTCACCACCCCGACCCAGAAATGGATAAAGGGGAAGAAGATGGATGGATGGATATGTTATGTTATGCATTTTAAAGCAAATTTTCTCAAGAAAACACACATGATTTAATTTATCATAAAACTGGAACCCAACACATACTTTTACATTATTCATTTAAATATATAAATTATTGTCCAGTTTTGGTTCCGTCCAAACATACAGTAAATTAACTTGTTTTGTTCAGAAAAATCTTCCATAAAATGATCTCCAAACTTAGGTTAAAATACAATCATTGTTTTTGTAAGAACTTTATAATCCTACACTTCCTCATAATGTAAAAAACGCATTCATAAATATTCAAAGACGCAAAGATAAGCTTCAAACACTCGTAAACTCTCGGCCCCCGCGGAGATGTTATTTTTAAATCTGGCCCCTGACCATAATGAGTTTGACAGCCTGCTTTCGGACAATAGGGGACGTGTACGAGGCCTTGTAGGCGTTGTCCAGTCTCACCTCTGACTCTCGGAGCTGAAGTCTCTGATGGAAACAGGCAAACCTCCATGTTCAATCACAAAACTCTACACCTGCATTCCTCTTCTCCTCCTTCACTTCTTCCCCCACGGTAAATGCACCATCTACATCCTTCTTTCCACGGTCCTGGGAGAAATCTGGCAACCACTCGACGTCTCTTTGAATGTTTTCAGGGTCAGGCAGTCCTTGTTTATGGACTAAATAAACACCAATGCTGCTGTGTGCTAATATATGCCAACCTACTTTTACTGTAGGATTATTTTCTCTTTAAATTACAGCTCCCGGGGGACTCTGTGACAGTTTAGGGGCCATAGGAATGCATTCGATTTTATGGAATGAGGTGGTATTTATAGCGAGGCAGAGGGAGACTGGAGAGCGAGCGTCCAGAAGGGGCTATGAGGAGGTTTTTCTATGAAAGCAGAAGACGATGCATAATGAATGAACATGAATAAACAATATGATGACATAGTGTTGTGTTGCAGACGGGGGAGGACTGGGGGGAGGACTGGGGGGAGGACTGGGGGGAGGACTGGTCAGTGGGCGTTTGTGACTGACCGCTGTTGATGTTTGTATGTACGTATGAACGCATGTGACTATGCTGAGCTTTTAACCATGACATAATAATAATAATAATGGATTGTTTTTGTATGGCGCTTTTGGACTCTTAAAGACACTTCACATGACTTTAAACTACTACTGAAGCCACAGCTGCCCTGGGGCATACTGACAGAAGTGAGTTACACACTGTACATACTGTATAGGGCAGGATTATAAGTAGATACAGTAAAGTGACGTTTTAGTTCCTGCATTGTGGGAAAGTACCAACATGTACAAGAAGTTCATCAGAACAGAATTTATTTTAGTCACGGGTTAGAATCTCGTTTCTTGTCGACGCTGCAAATCATTCATCTTTGAAAATCATCTCAGGGGCCACGACCTCATGTTTGACAAGCGTGATCTGGATAAGTGCAAAGGGTAAAAGTTGACATGACTGCTCGGACAAGCAGCACCGCGTGGAGATACAGGAAGTGAACAAAGACACTTGAGCAAACATTCTGTGTTCACCTCAACACTGATAACAGGCCGCGTCTTGTTCCTCGTTCTACAGCCTGAGTCCTGGATCTATCTTTAGCCCGTCCGCTCTCTCAATGTGGTTCTCCCCGAGGTTCCTCATTTTTGCCTATAGAGTTGTTCCCCGCTGATGCAGGGTCTAAGGACAGAGGGTCTACCCCTTATGGACCAATGGCTTTGTGTTTTTTTTGTTAGTTTGATTCTCTGATCTGTGTTGACAAATTTACTGTTTGTAAAGTCCTCCTACTCTTGCGATTTACTAGCCTGGCCGTAAATTCTGGTCAATTATCATTTCCCTAAGATGAAATGAGAACGATGATTTACAGCGATACCGAAATAAATCAAATTGAATCTCACAATAAGTACGTTCTTTACATGAATACTACTTCACCACGTCGTCGCAACAAAGTGCTGACATAGCAGACCGCCAGGATGAGCAGTAGTCTCTTTTCATCTGTGCCAAAATGCCTGTGTGGCGCCAGCAAATCTGATATAAGAATGAAACACGGAAGATAGATAGATACTTTATCCATACCCACGAAGGGAAATTCCAGTCCAGCCTCCGTTCATACAAATATTAATAAATACATAATGAATAGATAGAAGACATCGAGAATAAAGCATCGATCATGTCATTCCAACGTGAGGCGGATGGCGAGGATAAAAACTTGCCTTTCAAAGTTCTTCTTGCGTATCGGGCCTTTTCACGCGTAAACAAACATGCCAAACTCCTGTGTCAGACTTTTGTTTCCTGCCCTTTTGTTCGCAAAGACTTCGCCTGTAGCAACACCTGCATTTTTAACAACTACTGATCCGCAACACGACAACACACTCTCTATTCCCGCTGTATTCCTCGTGACTGGCTTCGGAAAATGTCCAAAACTAGATTAAGACGAAGATGAAGAGATCCTTTAAGAAGTCCCACAGTGGGGAAATTTCATTGTTGCATCAGCGGTTACAGAACAGAATGAATGAGGAGCACACAACACAAGATAAGTGAACAGTAACTCAACAATATACTAAAATAAGAAAACAAATCTTTGACTTTTGCATAAAAATGTAACAAATCTAAAATATAAGAAGAAGCAAGACTTTAGCATAATAATGAAGCAAGTATAAAATTATGTTTATTCTAGTGCCATAGATTTATAGTTGTGTGTTTACATCTGTACATGTTAGCAGCATGAGAGTCTGGGCTAAAGTGACGAAGTAAGGCAACACACTGCAAAAAGTGATGAAAAATAAGTCAAAACTTGAAAAAAATTTGCCAAAATGTATCCTAATTTGGGCAAATTTTTACTGCCTTATACCAAGATTTGCCAATTTAACAAAGCAAAATTAATCTTGTTTGGAAAAGATACAAGAAAGGTGTCCCTTGGAATGAGAAAATAAAGCAACAGGCACAGATTATGGCTAAATAGTTTTGTCCCATTGCAAAATCTACACAGTCAGAATATTTATTACCTCAAATTTTATCATTTTTTTTGTTATGGCACAGATGCACGACATGTGAGGTCAGTGTTAGTCGGTCTGCATTGTTCATTGTACAGTCCGACAGCAGCAGGAAGGAAAGAAACCTGTCAGAATCTATCACCATTCTTCACTCCCGGAGCCGGGTCTTCATCTGGAGCCCATGGTACGGATCAGCGTCGGTCTTGGGGGGACATTGTGGACGGTTTCCCAGTTGGACTCTGGCTCTAAACGTGAGCTAATTCTCTCATTTCTATGCATGTATGCAAAGCCGCCGCTGCAGGTGAAACAAAAGAGCTGGCCACAGTCTAAAGGGTTTTCGCTCGGGTGGTCACCGTGTGGTCATTTGGTGAGATGGTGTCCGCTGATGGTTGGGATCAGGAACAAATGCTAGAATAAAAAAAGCTGGTGCAAAATGCGTGATGGTTGGATTCAAAATGTCTTTGTCAAAACACAGACCTGCAGTGTTTTTAGCTCCGTACATGCCGGTACAGTATGTGGAGACGATGCATTGGTCCCTGCTCCTTTTGTCCAAACACTATTTTTCAATCTCTCTGCTAACTCTTAACTATATCTTTCCTAACTCTATATCTCTCCTAACTCTAACTATCTCTCTCCTAACTCTAACTATCTCTCTCCTAACTCTAACAATCTCTCTCCTAAATCTAACAATCTCTATCTCTCTATCTCTCACTTTCTCAAATGCCTTGCTGAACCTTTCAACATTTCGCCACATTTCAGGCTTCAAACATAAAGATATAAAATTTAAATTTTTTGTTATGAATCAACAACAAGTGGGACACAATCGTGAAGTGGAACGAAATTTATTGGATAATTTAAACTTTTTTTACAAATAAAAAACTGAAAAGTGGGGCGTGCAATATTATTCGGCCCCTTTACTTTCAGTGCAGCAAACTCACTCCAGAAGTTCAGTGAGGATCTTTGAATGATCCAATGTTGTCCTAAATGACTGATGATGATAAATAGAATGCACCTGTGTGTAATCAAGTCTCCGTATAAATGCACCTGCTCTTTGATAGTCTCAGGGTTCTGTTTAAAGCGCAGAGAGAACCATGAAGACAAAGGAACACACCAGGCAGGTCCGAGATACTGTTGTGGAGAAGTTTAAAGCCGGATTTGGATACAAAAAGATTTCCCAAGCTTTAAACATCTCAAGGAGCACTGTGCAAGCAATTATATTGAAATGGAAGGAGTATCAGACCACTGCAAATCTACCAAGACCCGGCCGTCCCTCAACTTTCATCTCAAACAAGGAGAAGACTGATCAGAGATGCAGCCAAGAGGCCCATGATCACTCTGGATGAACTGCAGATAACTACAGCTGAGGTGGGAGAGTCTGTCCATAGGACAACAATAAAGTCGTGCACTGCACAAATCTGGCCTTTATGGAAGAGTGGCAAGAAGAAAGCCATTTCTCAAAGATATCCATAAAAAGTCTCGTTTAAAGTTTGCCACAAGCCACCTGGGAGACACACCAAACATGTGGAAGAAGGTGCTCTGGTCAGATGAAACCAAAATCAAACTTTTTGGCCACAATGCAAAACGATATGTTTGGCGTAAAAGCAACACAGCTCATCACCCTGAACACACCATCCCCACTGTCAAACATGGTGGTGGCAGCATCATGGTTTGGGGCTGCTTTTCTTCAGCAGGGACAGGGAAGAAGGCTAAAAAGATGGATGAAGCCAAATACAGGACCATTCTGGAAGAAAACCTGTGACTGGGACGGAGATTTATCTTCCAACAGGACAATGATCCAAAACATAAAGCCAAATCTACAATGGAATGGTTCACAAATAGACGTATCCAGGTGTTACAACGGCCAGGTCAAAGTCCAGACCTGAATCCAATCGAGAATCTGTGGAAAGAGCTGAAGACTGCTGTTCACAAACACTCTCCAGCCAACCTCACTGAGCTCGAGCTGTTTTGCAAGGAAGAATGGGCAAGAATTCCAGTCTCTCGATGTGCAAAACTGATAGAGACATACCCCAAGTGACTTGCAGCTGTGATTGCAGCAAAAGGTGGCGCTACAAAGTATTAGCGTAAGGGGGCCGAATAATATTGCACGCCCCACTTTTCAGTTTTTTATTTGTTAAAAAAGTTTAAATTATCCAATAAATTTTGTTCCACTTCACGATTGTGTCCCACTTGTTATTGATTCTTGACAAAAAAAATATGTTTTATATCTTTATGTTTGAAGCCTGAAATGTGGCGAAATGTTGAAAGGTTCAAGGGAGCCGAATACTTTCGCAAGGCACTGTACCAGGTAGTGTTGGCATGAGCCCTATTCGGACGGGATTAGTACTAAATGATCAGACTGATGGTTGTGTTTGTACGTTTACTTTGCACTCTGTCCTAATACAGTACAGACGTGTTGATGCAGCCGTTACTGCAGCCGTGCTTGTTGGTTTGCGCGTTTGTAAAGTTTCTTGTCTAGCAGTGTGTGTGATGCGTTCACAGGTAGTCCGTACAAACTGTATTGTTGAACAGCAGACAGTACGGGCCAGAGAACTGTAGAGCAGTAAAATCCACATGTATGTGTTTGTCCTCATGGTGTCTGTGGCTGTTGTGGTCAGACGAGAGTCTCTATTGGCTGCGAGAAGCAGAGAGGCCTGCACACTCTGTTTACTCTGAAGTCACGCTTGATCTCGAGAGACGTTGTGAGATTTCCGGTGACCTGTGAATGCTCGGGGGTGAAATCGGTCCGTGTGTGATGTGTGTGGTTTGCGTGATTTTGCCGTGTGGGTGCGCACCACACACTGTACGACCAAAGTGGTTAGACCCGTGATTTTTTTATCTCCGTGTGTGGGGTCTCTCACGGAGAAAAAATCGGCCGGCAATTTTAAAATCGTCTCGTGTGAACCAGGCTTCACTCTATAAATCTCTCTCCTAACTCTAACTCTATCTCTCTCATAGCTCTAACTATGTCTCTACCTTTATTTCCCTTTTCCTCTCCTAACTCTAACTCACTCCATCTCCTATTTCTCTCTCA